TCCTCGATTCTTCCTCAAAATAACAGCCCTTCTCCTTCCATTGACCCTTCACTTCAATTTTGTCTCCACCTCCCACCTCTTACCCAACAACAACAGCAGCGCAGCAACAAGCGCAGCAAAACGTTGCAGCTTTATCGAATTATCAAATCCAGCAAAACCTTCAAAGATCCGCATCTATTTCACGTATGAACCAACTCCAGCAGCAGCAGCAACAACAACAAAGCCAGCAGCAGCAACAGCAACAACAAAGCCAGCAGCAGCAGCAACAGTCTCAATACAATAATGTTTTGAGACAAGGGTTATATGGGCAAATGAATTTGGTGGGTCGGGTTCAATTCAAGCTAACCAGCAACAGAATCAGCTGAATCAGCAGATGGGCAATCCTAATTATCAAGGTCGGCTTTGATGGGGCAAGGTGGTCATTTGCTCGGTGGCGCTGCAGCCGCTGCTCAGTTTAGTTTGCAGTCTCCGCTTTTAGCTTCGGTTGTATGTTTAGATACCCTTCTTGGGAAATTTGAATTGTCTGCTATTGAAATCAACATATTTTTGCATGAAAGTAGGGAAGTAGTTTAAAGTTATGCAGCTCTGGGAAAGAGTTAGAGTTTGAATTGGATGTCTTGTTGATGCTAAATTGTTGCTTCCTCAGATGATTTTTTCTTTCTTTTTTTTTTTGGAAATATTTTTCTCAAATTCGGATGCAAGTGTTCCGCATTGATTTTCTGAAGAATTTCAAGATGCGACTTGGAATTTTTGGTGTTTCTTTGTCTCCTTTTTCCTCACCATGGTGTTGGAATTCTTCGCACGTTTTAGTAAATGATGAAGTTAGTTAATGTACTTGAGGTTACTGTCAGCTAAAGTTGGAATTTATTGATGATTGCTGAAGTTTCTATTTATTTGGCAAAGATAATTGTTCCCTAGTTGATGTTTACTGTTGGTCAGTGTTTTGAATCTTGATAAGTTAAGTGTAATTGGTGTTTAGGAGTGGTTTCCTAGCCTTTTAAAGTAACAATTCATTATTTCTACCCCTTGAGAACCTAGAAATTGCTATGACCCTGTATTGAAGTGAACCTAATTTTCATTTAAGTTCATAGTAATGAAAATTCTAGTGGTAATAATCTAACCGTTGCAGAATATATTACTAGATAGGGCTTAATAGAGAGCACTTTCATGTTTCTATGGCTGATGGAATTTATTGGTCTTTTCTAAAGCCATTTAGTTTTTTGATTTAGCCGAGGCAGAAAGCTGGCTTGGTGCAAGGATCTCAGTTTCAACAGGAAACCCTGCTGGCCAATCTTTGCAAGGGATGCAAGCAATGGGGATGATGAATTGAGCTCACAACTAAGGGGTAATGAAGCTCTTTATGCTCAACAGCGGATGAATCTGGGACAGATGAGGCAGCAGTTATCAACAATCTCAACTCACATCTCCTCAGGTATTGTCTCTTTCTGAGATGATATATTGTCACTTATCTTTGGTGGGTGGAGAAATTAAATGTTTCTTCTTTTTATTTTGTTCTGTATTAATTGGTTAACTTGAGAAATAGTCATGTAGGTGGAATTCGTTAGTTAATCTAATGACATGGAGGTTATAGTTTGCACTAATATAGACGTTACTGTTTTTTTGTGTGGAATCTTTATGATGAAATTTTGAGACTTCAATCCGTTACAAAAGATCAGTCTTTTTACATCATAATACTCTTTATTTTTGGAAAACACGTTTTCTATTCTTTTACTCGGTGTTTGCTCAACTTAGATTAAGAAAAGATTTAATTATATTCTTGTAAATGGAAAATTTCAGATTTAGGTTGCCTATATGCTATGTGATAGGTATAGGATACCACCATTGGAACAATACTTATCATTTGGTCTAGAATTTTTTCCTTGGACGTTATTGAATGGCCTATGAGACATACTCCTTCACCTTTTCTAATGAAAAATGAGATCTTCAGTTGCAGCTTATAAAATTGGATGGTTAGCACTTCACATTTAGGTTTCTATGATTTTGTGAAGACTTGGAAATCATTGCTATGATTTTATGGTTAAATAGCCACTCATATTGTTTGATACACTTTCCACATTGCAAGTTGGCAGAATTAGAATCTCATCTAAGACTTTTGACACACAAAGAAATTTTGGTGTTGACAAAAGACTGCTCATCATTTAGTGTAAGATTATTGTGTTTTACTCCCTCATAATATTTTTATTGAAATGACCTAATTTCCATTAAGCGAAAATGCAGGATTACCCATGGTATGCTATTGAAAAATCCATTAACGAGTAAAACTAGATATGCTATATTGGTTTTTGTTGTTGGACCTGTCTTATTATGCCATTGCCACCTTTGAGGAAAATTTCTGTGGGCGGGCAATGTTTAAGGTTTTTTTTTTTTTCCATTTTGTTTTAGTGCACGTCTTCCAATTAATTTGTGCATATTATCCTAGTAACAATATCTCCTCTATAAACTGCAGGCTCAAAGCTTACCAAGAACATCTCAAGCCTTTATCAACTCTCAGTTATCAGGGCTGGCTCAGAATGGACAGGCGGGTATGATGCGAACTCTCTTGCAGCAACAGGTTGAAGCAAATGCCGTCCATGTCTGGTTCAGGCTCACCTTCATTCCGCCTTCAGAGGCAACCACAGTCCCTCTTGCAACAGCAACTGGCATCTTCTTCCCCTCAGTTGCACCAAAATTCCATGTCCTTGAACCCTCAACAATTGTCTCAGCTCCTACAACAGCAGTCACAAATGGGAAAACCACTAATGCAGCAGCAGCAACAACAACAACTACTGCAACAACAACAGCTACAACAACAACTACAAGAACCACCACCACCATTGCATCAGCTCCAACAGCAGCAGTCTCGGTAACTTGTGCACATTCATCTTTTGGTTGTGTCCAGGTTGATTCCAAAGGTAAGCTTGAACCAGAAGTTGAAGATTTACTTCTGGAGTTTGCTGATGACTTCATAGACTCTGTAAGGCTCTACTTTAAGGCTTTACCTTGATGATATTTGCCTTTCTCTGTTTGGTTACGGATATATGCATCTATCACTCAATATTTAGTTTCTGGTGGCAATTAACCAAAAATCTTAATATAAATAAACTCAGAGGCTTGGCTGTTATTAGTATAGACATGGTTAGAATTGGAGTATTTTTATGTCAAATGTACTCAAGTATAGCAAGATATTTTTATGGACTCCATGGAATTCTTCCTGCAATATTTTGTGTTTAACATGAAGAGAAATAAAAAATTGGGCTGACAGTGGATGCCATTTGGTACATCCATCAGCTGTTAAGTGGTAATCTTCTTTGTTTAAAACTTACACCATTTTCATTCATTTTCAGGTGACTACATTTGCATGCAGTTTGGCCAAGCATAGGAATCATCAACATTAGAGTCCAGGATCTCTTGCTACACTTAGGTTTGTGCTCGACTATTTGCATTTCTTTTTTTTTGATAGGAAAAGTAGGTCTCATAAAAACCTCCTTCTTAGTAGTCCTTACATGAGGTCAGAACCTACTAGGGGAAGGAGGAATAGAGAACCTTAATATTGATAATGTAAAAATTACATAAAACTAAAAACCACTCCTTTAAGATACATAAAACTTAACACACTCTTATAACGCCTTGATGAAAAACCTCCGAACCCAGTACTAAAATTTTGCATTTCTTTGAAAGAGTTGTGTTGACGTGACAGTCCAACATATATTTGGTTAGTGCTCTTATTTTCATAAGATGGGGAAAAATTCTGGAATATCTAGGTTTTATATGATTTGAAGCTTGCCGTGACAGAAAATAAAGTTCGCCTACCAAAGATAAAATGCTGGTGATCAGTTGAATTTTAAAAACTTACTATAATCCATGCTTAATCTTTTCCTTCCAAATTTGCTTCTGATGCACCTCTTAATGTACATTTTGATAGTTTATGTATTACTTCAGTATTTAAAAAATTTAGATGTTGAGTTCTGAATAAGATATCCTATTATATTTCTCATCCCTTTAAGTGAAGCCAGTGGAGCTATAATGAATGTTGAACATGGTTTATTTGCAGAGAAAAAACTGGAAATGACTATTCCAGGATTTTCAAGTGAAGAACAGAATCAAACAAGCCCGGTAAGCATTTCTGTTTGTTGTTTATAGATGTCAGTGCTCAAAATGTCCTAGAATTTGACTTAAATGTATGTGAATTTCAGTTCCCTTTTAGGGTGGGAACTCTTCATTTAACACCTATCTTAGTAGTCAAACTTTATTTTCTTGATATTAATCTTCCACATTTTACTTTTCCTGTTAGCTTGAAACCTTCTGAGCTATTTTCTCTAGCATTTGTGCTGATGTTATTGGAATACCTTTCGCTTTATATGAATATCTTTGATTATTTTCAAAATAAGAAAGATTACGATTGACGTTGTATCTTGTTTTCGAAATATGCAGTTATCCAGTGATCTCCACAAGAAGCGTCTTGATATGGTGAGCAAAATTTTTTAGTATGAAAGTATTAAAGCATGTCTTACTCTCTTATAGCGTTAACTTATACTTTATGCAAATTACATTATTAGAAACGACCACTGATGGAATCGTCGCACCTGAAGCAAATGCAAATAATCCTAAGAAATGATAAGACAAGGTCTTGGCAACCCAGTTGATGCATCAAACCATTTATTGAGGCCTTCGCCGAGTTCCGAGCAGTTGGTTTCACAATCAGGTAGTTCACAAATGCTGCAGCAAATAACTCGGTATAACAGCCAGATTTGTCATTCATAATTTGGAGTTTTGGACCGGTTTCAACATGCCTGTCTATCTGGATATTTTAGGTGAGTAATGTGATTCACTTTCACTAACGATTAGTTTCTCCTCTTCCTTTTTGTACTATCCAAATAGGTATTAAGGATTATTTCTACTCATCTATGCATATGTTGTTGAGTTATTAGAATTCATGCTAGTATGTCCATGCAAGATACGTTGACATTGTGTAAAACTAAATATCTTTTTAGGATCGTTGGATGAGTGAAATAGATACTGAGATAACAGTAGGTAATGAGAAGATATTCGTAGGAAAAAGAAGCGAGATAATCTCAACCATCTATTTCCACTCATCCAACGATCTTAAAAATATGTAAAACTAAAAGTTTTACACTAGGTGTGAGTTTCTAGGGACTCCTAGGGATCTTCCTATTGGCTTAGTCTTGCATAAGTCAGTAGGGTAGTGTTCCTAATAGAATAAGTAGCTACATGCTTTTTCCGAGGATAGATTACATACCTCAGGAAGCAAACAGACTCACTGATGCTTTGGCTTGCCTTGGACATCATAGAAATCTGGGGCTCTCAATTTTACAGCAAGCTCCTAATGGAACCCAAATATTCTCGCCTTTGATAAAGCTGCGCTGAGAAGAAGATTTAGGACACTTTAATACAGTGACCAACTTTTGTAACAAAAAAACAAAAGAAGGTATCGATCAACCAGTCAAATAGGTTAAACTCAGCTCGCTAGCTTTGAAACGCGTTTGCCCTAGTTTCGTTAAGTCAATTGAATAATTCGGGCAAGCCAGTACGAATCAAAAAAGAGGAATTTAGCTGATCAGCCAACCCTACTCATCTTTGTCTAACCGATTCAAGCATTAGCCCACACCAACTTTTGTGACACAACCTGTTGTCCTGCAGTCCAATGAACCCAATAGAGATTACATATTCCTTAATCATGTGTAGCTGCTGGCCTTCCCTAAGGACATAGTTCAATGTTGAACCAAACTATGTTCTTAAAGATTCTTGACATAGTTCAATGTTGCCTTAAACCAAACTATGTTCTTAAAGATTCTTGTTGACTATCAATCATTTAATAACCAGCCTTATAATCTCTCTTTTCAGGTTATCTGCAGCTTTTATGATGTAGTGGGATGACAGGAGGGGAAAGGCTGTAAATTATTTGGTAAGTGATCAGGGAAATGATGGAAGCAGTACTGTTGGAAATGATCTTGCACCATTTTATCATATAATTCATGATTTTGTCGATCTCTCATTAGGGATTTTAGACATGAATGTAGACTAGGTTGTGGAAAGCACATTGATTCAATGATTTATTTATTTTCCATCTATTGGATTGAAAAGAGCAAATTGTTCATTTATTGTTAGCTGTTACAATGCCAGTGGGCATCCCCTTCTTTTAATAAAGGGTAAACTACAAGTTTAGTACATCAACTATCACTTTTTTCATTTTGGTCATCTAATTTTATTTTTTTCAAAAACTTTAGATTTTATTTTGGTCACCAGACGTTAAAATTTAGCATTCAATATATTGGTATAATTGAGATCATGGATGGACTGAGTGTTGAAATGTGGTCGCGCTCTCTGGAAATTTTAAATTTTCATATAATTTAGGTATTTTCTTTATATTTTATATAGATGATCTAATTTCACATCATCTGAATTTTATAAATTTATCTCTAAATTCCTAATATTTTTTAAAATTTCTGTAATTATTCTATAAATATAATATATATTAATAATTAGAATTATAAAACAATCCACAAACTAATATAATTATAAACATCAAATCATTACAGCATACAAGCCTACAGTATGTTTGGACCTATATCATAATAACTCACTCAAAGTTTTAAGTGAATCTTGTGTAGTCCAATTATATTTTTATTGCTTTGGTCTAAATCCAACTATTGATTTTTTCCTAAAATATAATAAAAATAATATATTTATGTTATTACAACCGAAATTAATTCATATAATATGTAATACAATTATAAGTATAATTAACACATTCATATAACTATAATTAGAACAGATCATTATAAAACACAAACAAACTAATAATTAAATTTGATCAAACTTTTTAATCATTAATTTTTCAATTTCGGTTTTAGATTAATTAGTCTTCAAAATATATACAAATTGTAAATTTAATTTATAGTCTCCAATTTAATCATTTTAATTCTTTATTATTTGTCATATATCTCTGTACTATTTGATTTGAACTGAAGGTTAAAAAATACAACTCTAAACTTGATCATTTTAAAGTGAAAGGATTAGATACATAATTTGGTATAGTATAGGGACTAATGAAAGCATTTGACCAACTTACAAGCCTTCATTTGAACTAGCGATTCCTCAACCTCACTCTAAAAACTCACATCTCGACTCGTGTTTTAGCTCAGGTAACCATGGCAGTCACCCAGCTCTGTTCGAAAAGGTCAATCATCGTAACCACCCTTTAGAAAGCTAATGAAATACTTTTCTGATTTGCTCTTTGAATTATCAAAAACTCTTTACTTATGCTTGGAATTTTGAGGTCTTTATCAGTTGTTTTTTTTAATCCCAAATTCTTATATTTTTTTTTTCCAATTTGATATGCAGTTGTTGTTCATCTCAGAGCAACCGGGGACGCTCCCATACTAAAGCAAGCCAAATTCAAGGTATTTATTTGATTTCCTCCCCGTTTGTACCAATTAATACTCTCGAGCGGGTCTAGAATTCTCCAATCAACATTCCGTGCTGATTCTTTATGAGGGAAAAATAAACGAGATCTCGATCACATGATAGGATAATTCTATAATCCCCGTTAGATTTTTTTAATAAATTATATCTATTGTGGGGCTTTTATCCAAGGCTTGGCTTGAAGATTATGTAAAGCAATTGGAAGCTGATGAGGCATGTTTTGATGGTGCACTGTGTATCTACTGGTAATTAGAAGCTATTCTACTCAGACTTGGGTGTGAGTGTAAGACACAGATAAGTATCTGACACAATTATAGCTAATTTTTTCTAAGATCCTTAGAGGACGGGAGTAGGATTTTATGTAAGTGGATGTGAATTTAGAAGTTATATTAGAAATGTAAGGGCGTCAAATTACAAACTTTTATGGGTGTAAAATTATATCATCAATAGAAAATACTAGGAAAATACTTAGAGGTGAATACTTAAACTATACGAGGATTTGAAATTTTCAGGGTGCAACCACATCCCCTCTGTCCATCCCTGCTTAGAGGTGATATCTTGATAAGCAGTGCCAGATACAAGTACTTCATGAAAATGAGGAGTCCATGCAACATAGGTTAGAAGCTTGGTTTTGTTTGCATATAAATAAATTGTACAATTTTAGTTGATATTGCAATTGGAATTTTGTGGTTCACTTGCAACATATGTACACATGTATCATGCATGCCTCTGTGTGTATGTGTTCATTCAATCTCTTCTAGCATGTAATGGTTGTAATCGAATAAATGTATCTTTGTAGATACCCGGAACTGACAAATTTGCCAAATTAGTCGATTTCCTACACTGGCAACTGCACCGTGATTCATTGGTAATCGATTCATGTCTATTATATCTTATGCTTTGTCAAGCTAACTTCATACTGTTGTTTGCGGTAGTACTAATTTCTTATCCCTTGTTTTGCAGTTCGTGTACGTCAATAGTGCCTTCTCACCGAACCCAGATGAATTGGTGATCGATCTGTATAATGTAAGTCATAATACTTGAGATACGTCTTCTTGCTGATTTTAGTTATGTGGATACTCTTTTGAAGTGTTTATGGATTCTTTAAAGAGGGAACTGACTTGCATATCTGCATTCATGACTGGATTTTTCTTCCCGGAAACACGAATCGGAATAGGAAAGAACGAAGATATTTAGCTCAGAACTTATTCTTTTATGCGAGTGTTCATCATCACAGACATGTTTTCAATCCGTATGATGATAATGACACTTTATGGCATCAACTTGGGGCATATAGCATATGTTTTTTTCTGAATTTTCTGTGCCTTAATGTGTAGATAACTATTTACCTAACCTTGCAACTATTTCCTTTTTCTTATATTGACAATAGGGCCCATGATGGCAGAATCGAATGAGTTTTCACATGAAATGGTCCATTACTTCAGTCTTCAATAGATTGGTCTGAGTATTCTGTCAGAAAATGTTCATTGCATTGAAAATAGATTCTCTTACACATCTATTGCATCCACCATTAGCCACTTTAGGTTTATCATAAGAACCCCTTGAAGATGATGACTCCTATAAGAAAAGTTTCTTCACTTTACTGCATGACTGAATTCTTTCTCTCGATAGGATGCTACTCCATTACTTGCTTCTGCCTCCTAATAAATTTTGGAACATCCATATATCCCAAAGTTGAAATTTTAATTACTTAGGTGGCCTTGTCGATGTTTATCTGTTAATCTGACTGACCTGCGTTTGCATTTTTCAGAATTTCGGTTTCGATGGTAAACTGGTGGTCAATTATGCCTGTTCTATGGCATGGGGCTAAGCCTCCAGACAGATCTACGAGTCTGAGATAAAACTGTCAACTATGTAAATACACACTTCATTTGTTTCCTAGAAACTCTCCGTTATCCATGGTCCTTTTAGAACCATCCTCTTTAATATTGCCTTTTTTCCCTCTTTATATATGAAACAAGGATTCTTCCCTAGCTGGTGATAGCTTCTTACTTCCACACAAGCAAGTTGATATCATTGGTGGTATTCAATAACTTGTGATAATTGTTAAATTCATTATCATTGATTTGTAATTCAAGCCAATGGGCTAATGACGATCCACCCTTTTGTTTGTGTTTTTTTACAAAAGTGATTTGTCGATGTCAGGAGTTTCGTTGTCGGATATAAATTTCAGTGCTTGGAATATATGATGAGTAATATAATGTCCATAGCACCATGGTGGAAGGCTGGAGATTTTCTTGATAATACAGGCAGAAACCTAAAAGGAAACATCTTTACTTCTTAAGGCTATTCCATAGTCAAAGAATAAAGTCTTACAAATTCGAAACATGTTTCCTCCGGGGAGAAGATAAAAGAGGTTATCAGAGTGGGTGACAGCAACAAATAGAATCTTCTACTGGCCCTACACTGTTCGGTTCACAACTTTATCACAACAAAACAATCCTGGCCACAAATTTCAAGAGCTAAGGTATTGAAACTGACCCAGCATTCAAGTGCTTTTATTGATTCCATTGAGACTCACTATCTGCAGGTGAAAAAAAAAAGAAGAAAAGGTCGTGTTAGGAAATGGACAAATAAAATTTGTACGAAATGTGAAATAAACAAAAATAATGGGTGGGAATTGTTTTTTTTTGCCTGAATGAACCCTGGAATTGGATGCAAGATCAAGCCAAGACCCATTTTTGTTGTTGTTCCTTGGTGTCCAACTCCCACTCCCTAAGAATTGGTGCAGGTTTTTGAGCTTCTTCATCTTTTTCTAACTTGATTGGCTTAGCTGACTTGATATCAGTACCCAAACAAAGCATTGCTGGTGCTGCTCTTGTTCACCAAGCTTTGGACCATGTCAAGGCTGATATGAATCAGGAACAACTCTTACACTCCCTGAAGCTTCAGGGAAGAAAGATCTTCGTCAACAGCTTCCCTTGTTCCTTGAACATACCTATTAAACAAAGAACAATAAACTATTACAGGTATTATACAAAGATAGGAAAGTAAAAGGGTTTATTCAAGCTATTAAACAAACCTGTAGTCAAGTCCAGTTGCAGGATCCAGGAAATGTGAGATGGAACTGATAAGCCTGGCCCAGGAAGTCTTGTGGAAGTAGAAGAATGAGAATAAAGAAATGGGTCGAAATGGTATAGGTTTCAGAAGCCGTAGGAGAAAAAGAGAACGAAGAAGTGTTAGAGCTGGAAATGGAAAGGTTACTATTGATTGATGGGAAAGATGTTGAAAGAGTTGAGCCTGTTGTTGCTGACGACGACGATGATGATGAAGAAGCATAAACTTCCACAGGCTTCTTGAACGGTCCTGCCTCTATGCATGTGCCTCTCACAGTACTGGAATCTGGGTAAGCTTCTTTTGAGCACCTCCATTTTTTCCCATCAGTTCTCCGCACCTCCCTGGCTCTGGGTCTGGTTTTTGCCATATCCGCCTGAAAAATACCCCACCCTGCTGCAACCACACCAACACACCATAAGATCCAAAATTACATATATTGTATGTATGCATGCATGTATGTTTTGCAGATACTTACTATGTTGTTGAGGGAAGAGGTTGGAGCCAAGGAAGAACCAAAGCTTGTTTTGACAGAGTAAATGAGTTGAGTGGAATAGGAACTCCTGAGACCATGTACTTGAAGATGAGAGCTTGGTGTGCAAGCTCTTGCCATTGATTGGAGTGAAAGGGCACTTGTTTCTGCCACTAATCATCTTTAAAGTAAGAACCAAAAACAAAACTCAAAATATGTATTATATAAATAAATGTAATTCTGTGATGGAACTAAAAGACAACAACAAAGACCCAATCTAAAGAGCCCTCTGAAAGACAGAAAAGAGGGGTTTAGCCTCTACTTGTGCTGCTGCTGCTGTAGTGCTGTTGCTTCCCTGTTTGCTTTTAATCTGTCTCTGACATCTCCACAAAATATCCACAAAAGAAAAAGAAAATCTTAAAATTTAATTCAAATACCACTAATAGTATGGTATAGATTTATACTTCCAATTTAAAAGAAAAAAAAAAGACATGCTAATCTAATTTAGTTCAAATAACTGTAACTTCATCATCATTTATATTACAATTATTATACATGTAATGCCATGTTAAATTTTATGCCTTTGTATTTTATTTTATAAGTTTTTAATAAAAATGTTATAATATACGGTTGGTATATAGATTTACGCCAATATAAATTATAATAATATATGTTTTTATAGTGTATATATGTAGGGAAAGTAGGTGACTACTCACTCCATGGAGGCACGTATGACCTTTTTGCTGTCTCCACCTCTTTTCTCCTTGAAATGAGTGCCCACCTCATTTTGCAAAGCTGCTCAGTACTTATTGTTGTTAAAAATTTTTCTTTATAAAATATCGCTTTTTTTAAAAAATATTTATAAAAATAACACTTTTCAAAATTATTTACAAATATCGATTTCATTTCGTGATTTGTTAAAATCGTTTCTCATTATTATTTTTAATTAATAATTAATTTATATACATAAATTAGACTATTCTTATTAGATTTAATTAGCAATTATTTTTTATGATATTTACATGGTATTTATGAATGAATATAATGTTTTGGTATAATGTTAAATAACTCTCAATGTTTATTTAAATAGTTATTTTATTTATTTTAAAATATTTAATTTTTTAACTTTTTATTGTTTTTATCAATGACATATTTAATAAAAATTATTAGTTGATTAACAATCACATATTTAAGGTTCGTTAACGGTCCGGTTTGAAAACCATGATATAAACCAAATGAATATCAAACAAACGGTAGAGAATTCAAGGAACCTGCGGTTCCACGTTGGGATGCTACTCTCGTTAATCATGTGTTCGCTCCTTCTGATGCTGCCACCATGTTGGCTTTGCAATGTCGATTATGCTGTCATTATGATGTAGTTTGGGGCGGCCTTCTTCATGTTCATATTCGGTTCGATCCGGCTATTCAAGGCTCCTACGCTGACACCGACCAACCATCACTGTCTCTCAGTTGAACTTTTTCTTCGACGCCTGCAAACTCCTCCTGGGGTTCGCTTATTTGGGTGGAGTGCTGCCCATGAAGGTCTCTCGACTGGTCGCCGATATTTCTTCTGGGGTTGCGGATGGCCGATTCTGTTTATGCGGGTCGGAGGACGAGACTGTGTTACATGTTTTGCGAGATTGTCTGATGGTCATCCCGATATTCTCTCTCGCCCTTCACTCCTTGCGAATACGCCCTCCCCTGTTAGGACTGCCTCGAATCTTTGATCACCATCCTGGATCCATCTGCTTTTCCTGCTCTCATGGTTCTTCTCTCGCAGGTTTGGCACTTCCGTAATTTGTTTTTCATGAACAGCGTCTGTGCCAACTGCCACTTGGTTACTTCCAGCCGTGCTGCTCACTCAGCTTATAGGTCGGCCTTGCTCGATCGGCTGCTTCTTCACCATCTTCCCTGCTTGTAGAGCGTTGGAGTAAAGCCCACTTAGGGTGTGATCAAGATCAATGTCGATTCTGCCAATCCGATGACAATTGGCGTGCCCGCAAGTGGATTCCTTGTACGCGACTCTGATGGTATTGTACTAGCTGGCCGGGGAATTTGTCTTGAAGTTAGTGTTCTTGAGGCACAAGCTCTTTGCTTTGCAATCCGATTTGCAGTTAATGTGGGGTTCTCCAAGGTCATCTTTAAAAGCGATTCGATCCATGTTGTACGTCACTTATCGCATCCTGGATCGAATTGCTCAGTGCTCCAGTTCATCCTAGCCGAAGCTCGCCATGTCTTGGACTCTCATCCTCATTTAGTGTTCGTTACGTGTGCTGAACCGCTAATGAAGTTGCAATGCTTAGGCATTCCATACTCGGTACTTTCTCGGAGTCCATTTCCTTTTGAGTCTGTTTTTCCTTCGTTTTTATCGGATGTTATAATGTCTGATACTCCATTGGTTAACGAATGCATGGCTATTTTTATAAATAAAAAAAGAACATTGGAGACTATCTCATAAATAAGCAAAATTAGAGTTTGCCGTCTCTGGAAAGCCCAAATTCCAATATTATCTAAATCCGAGATCTGAAGCAAGCCAAAAACAAGACACCCACAGAGACAAAACTTTCCAACATCTGGTACAGTTACACCCTTAATCTAATAAAAAAAAACATCCTTAATTTAATCCTCAAATAAAAACATCACATCTTCCAAATAACAACAGCACACCGAACTCCTCGATATTCCCTTTACCGTCCACTTCCACATTTTTTTTATTCAACTTGTTTTATTTTTAGTGATGTCTCTCTTTCATTTGGTCAATGATTATCAAACAACTCCGGAAACTTTCTTTGGAACTCGGTTTTCAATCTAACAAATCATGGGACTGGAGGATTCAGCTGAGCCAAATCCGAGCCAAGATCACATCTTGGATTGGCTCGAGGATTCCGCGTCGTTCCTTCCGTCTTTCTTGGATGTTCCGTATGGCTCGGGGGACGACGATGGCTGTCCATGGTGGGATTCGAATCAAGAGTTCGGTCAACATCTGGTTAACTTAGGTGGTACTGCTGCAACTTCTAGCCATTCCCACCATTGCTGCTGCTGCTGTTGTAAGTGGTACAGATAGGGGTCTTGTTCGGTCCGATTCAGCCGTTGTTGATCCTTTGTGACGTCGAATTCGTCGAAAAGAAGGAAACCACCGGCGACGATATCGTTCCGAGGATGTCGGATCATCAACAACATAAGAAGAATCATAACGGTCGGATCGATGAGAACGAAGAAGGTAAGCGGGAGTTGAAGAGGTTATGGGCAATAATAAAAGGTCAGCTGGAAACAAGAAAAAACAAGTCTTCAGGAAATAACGGTAATAACAAGGAAGGAAGATGGGCAGAACAGTTGCTAAACCCTTGCGCCACTGCGATCACCGCCGGTAACCTCACGCGTGTTCAACATCTGTTGTATGTTCTCACGAACTCGCCTCGTCGACCGGAGACGCAACCACCGGCTTGCGGATCATGGTCTACGAGCTCTGACCCACCACTTATCGTCGTCTGCTGCCTCGACTGTGCCTGTTACTTTCGCTTCAACCGAGCCAAGGTTCTTTCAACAATCTTTACTGAAATTCTACGAGATCA